TCGTATAGATTTTGCCTAAGTTCCAAATTCGGAAAACCTTCATCTAGCTATTGAAGTGTTATGGAGTGGATAGTTCTTTGGAGTGCGCATCTGTGAGCAAAATCCACATTTAAAATTAGAGATTTCGATTAGATTAGTTTTCTAGTGAATTCTATCTGCAGAAAAATACGCGTCTAGTCTGGAAAATAGGTTAAATGCAAAGATTTGGCAAAAATTTTTCATGAGCAAAAAGTTTTTTTGCCCAAGAAACCTAACCTCTCTCCTCCCTCAGTTAGCTGCGAACCGATAGTTGAATCGCCCATAGTATAGGGATTTAGTATGACAGTGAAGAGTCAGGAGAACGCTTTTTACGGCCGCTCCCAGTGAAGTTTGTAACTCAATGAAGGATCACGATTCTTCTTCGCTTCGATATCACTTTTGGCAAGGCTTATTCGACCGCTAATGATCTTAGATCCTCATATAATGAAATATATGTATCCGCTTCATTGATAACGCATTTAATCATTTGTCTACGTGACTTTTGCTCGGACGCACAAACGGGCATACAAACGGACACACAAAGTTAGCGGTTTATATATATCATGGATGGATGGATACTCCCAAATCTGTTAGGGGTATTGGCAACTCTAGTCACTAGCTACTTCAGCTTCTGAAAAACTATTGCTTAGCTTCTTTGGTAAGCGGATTGAATATAATAAGAAAGATAAACCTGAGTACTTTTTTTATGATTAAGGCTTACCATTAAGATGATGGCTCTAGCCATTTGTAACGTTCTCGAGTGAGAAACAGCATTTTTTGACGTCTTCAGTCGGTGGCATATAAGTCCGTGCATAGCGTACATAGCAACATATCCAGCCAAGAGAAACATAAAAAGAATCAACGACGAGACTTTGCCGGAAGCATCCTGGAAGTTCAACGGCTGAGCATTAATAATATAAAAGCAGTCAATGAAATGAAATGAGGGAGTCTGTTACTTTTGAGGTCGCGATCAACTTCATCCGCCCCTTGGTGGCTGGGATCGAAACAATCTACCTTAATTCTGGAGAGCTGGAAAAAGAAAAAGCCCTTTCGGCGCTCCAGTGCCCGATGCTGACTTCTTACACTTGGATTTCCCTTCTTGAAGTCAGCCGAATGGAGCATCTCATCAAAGCAGTTACAGTGGTTCCAGAGGCAGGGAAGCGGTAAATTAAATGGGATTGAGAATTGAACTGTTGTAGATGCATAGGGTTGCTAAAAAAAAGCCTGAAGTGATGCTTGGGAACTAGAGGGGTGATGGCTAACACGAATAATGGTGCATCGACAACTACATAGCCCTGAAAAGAAAAGCAGAAGGTGACGTTGAGGCTTACCGTCTCATGGATCAGATACGTAGTTTCTGGGATTTTACGTATTTCCTTGGCCCATCTACGATATTTAGCTTCATCTGTTGATGTAATAGCTGCTCGTGAAAAAAATACATAGAGAAAAGCTGCGAGCAAGTAGGAGGCGAATGATGTCAAAGCTACGAGATAAATTCGCAGAGGTGTTCTGACCTTTGGCCTAAAAAAGGAAAAATTTGTGGGGAAGGTTGAAAAAAGTACACATTTGAAGGAAAAACTTACAAAAAAATTATTTTGTAGCGATACACGAAAATAAACAGAGGCTGATGGCATATGAACAGAAACAAAGCAATGTTTATAAGTTCTACTGCATAGCAGATAACTTGCGGGGTGAATCGCGACGGTCCAAGAATGAAGACGATGAGGACTCGCTGTCGTAGAACAAACGTCTAAACAAAGATCGGTTTCAGTAATCTTTTTCGAAACACCGAGTTTTGATGACCATTGTTCATTCCAGATCACCTATATCAGATTATCAAACCAGGTGGCCATGTTCTGAGTGTTTTACATCGAGGGCTTATGAGTAGTTTTGATTGAAAGTAAATTTTTATGTATTTAGGCTTCCAAATCGGCTGACAGGGCAATTAAACTCAATAAGATGCTAGTAAAATCGTTTTTATAATGGGGGGGGGGGGGGGGGTTAACTACACTGTGGCATAGTATATGAGGATAAAGTCAAGAATCTTTGACATTAATCAGTTCTGGTTCCGGAATGCGTCCCGCACTGACTTCCACTCAGAATCGTGTGGCGGTCAGAATGCGTTCGTGCCTATACAGTGGCATACGGTGTCCAGCTGATGTAAAACTCAGCACTTTTTCCTCCCAGACGAGCCAGGTACCAATTAACCGACTCTGGGAAGCCCCGTTGGTTCAAGCGGATATCTGTCATGGATTCGAATCTGTGATCCTGCGTGTACGGTGGTTCACTTCTTCCCACTACGCAACTTCAGCTTTAGCATTTGATCACTCTTTTCATTTTTTATTTCCGCCCTACCTCAGTCCCTATCATTGGACTGGGATTTCGCAAAGGCGGCAAGTGGGAGAGGACCAAGGTGCCATGCATGGACACCGTGCATTAGTACGCGATTTAAGAGCTCTCTTGGGAGATTCATAGCGGTTTCTATTTTCAAATCTATTTTGTTGCTATATTAGTGTGTCCTGTTCTTGGTATCACTTTTATTTTCCTTTAAACCAGTGAACACGCAGCAGGTCATCCTAGGGGAATATTTTCCTTTCCGTGGAAGGAGAGAAATAGTCTCGGGGTCTACAGCATCACGCTCAGCTTGTCCTTCACTGTTCAAATGGGGTTCGCCACCCGAAATAGAAGTGTTCGTAAAAGCGAATTTTTATTATTACCCAAATAAAATTGGAAAGAAATAAAAATCAATATTGGAAGAAGTAACTACCTGTTGTGAGAGCATGTACCAAAGGCTAAGTGTCGCATTGGCAGCTGCATTTATCAGAAGTGGATGACGATACGGCATGAGATACTTGGCTGAGTATCTTGACACAACCAACATGAGAAAAACATTCAGGAACAGAGAGATTGGCGTACAAATGTACGTCAATATGGTAACAATCGTGAAGGAGTCCATTTCTGAGATTCTATTACATAACTGTATTCGAATTTCCCGTCATCGACAATTTTGACGGTCTTTTTTACAAATCGGTGGAAAGAAGAGTAGGCGCTTTAAGACAAGACCAACAAAGAAGAAAACAAGGAAGACAAGTTGTTATCTCTAACCATGCGCATGGTTACAGACCATCTAAACTACATCAAAACAAGTTGCATGGAGCCCTGTGGAACACTATGCGAACTATTTCGGTTCACTTGGAAGTCTGGCCCATAGAGAAATCCACCTAACGTTAAGTCATCAACGAGCAAGCTGTCTGTAGAGTTTTGTTTTCCGAAGTGTCCAAGCCTAGGATTGAATCACTAATGATGGTCTACATATCCAATACTGAATATGGCAATTAGCCTGTCCGCCCCATACCTTCATCAGGCTTATATTCTTTGTTTATTAAGATAGTTGTTAGCAAGATACCATTGAAATTACCCACTATTTAATAAGAATCTTGGGGGGAAACGTGTTGGATGAAAAACGGGCGAACATAATGATGACAATTCCAGTGATACTTCAGAGTTGTTATAGAATTAATTCATTGCAATCTTCCAAATAAATAATGAACGGCTTCACTTAAAAACCAAGTAAATAAACAAACAATTTCACGCTAGAAAAGCCTAGAAGACCGTAAAAAAATGCTCAAATTTCCATAAAAATCGCTACCAGATTACTGTATTGCACTGTGACAACGACAACGTAAAACAGAACACTTAAATGTACATAAAAAACATAAAACAAACACATACGATGAATCACAGTATAAGGCAGATTCAGGTTCAAATTCAGACCTGAATCATCCAACTTCACTTGGCTCACACTAGAGATCAAGAATTTTCGGCACACACTCAACTCGTTACGGTGAAAGAAATCATGATTGCATAGAGGGATGTGTTACAATAATATGTGTACTGCAGGGCTATCCAAAAAGGAAAAATTAATAATAAATAGGGTAAATAAATAAAAAAGGATCAAAATTGTTAAGAATCTTTGACATTTCCTATTTCATTTTCCTTACTACCAAACGAAAAATGAGTCTTCTTAACCCATTACCAAATTCCCTGTACTTTCAATGAAAAAGAGTGGAACGGGACAGGATAGGACAAGCGTGATGAATGTTACGGAACTAGAGCGGATTCCAAAGCGAGTGAGCAATTCACCTAAATCCACTGAGCTTACTGCCCACCCCTCTCATTATGTAATGCTTCTTGTTCGAAAATTGCCTGGTTCTCAACCGAGCCATAGTCATCCACACAGGTAGTTAGGATAGAACTGATGGTGAAAGCACATTAATTGATAGTGCTGATTCAGTGAAAATTGATGGGGAGAGAACCGATGGAGAAAGGACGACACCGGATAGAATGGTCGGTGAGACCACGTCTGGGCACAACACATACGGTGATAGGATCAGCGGAGACAGTACGTACGGATTGATGACGTTTGGTGACAGTACATATGGTGAGAACACGTAGGCATTCATTACAGCCGCCGAAATCGTGTTCGGTCCGAGCACGTAAGGCGAGAAAATAAGCGGATTGCCAACCTGAAAAGAGAAGGGGATAGCAACTCTTCTAGCAAGAACCATAAATGCGCAACTAAATCAAGACTAACCTGTGGTGAAATCACTGGTGGGCTCAGTAGGAGCGGTGAAAGCACATTGGGAGAGAACAAACTTGGCGATAACGTGACGGGACCAAGTATGTTCAACTGTAATGTAATTGAACTTCCAGTTACATTTCATTTATTTGCTTCAGATAAATTGACAGAGTGTAGCACTAAAGGCACAGTAGACGATGAAATCGGTTCCCGAGATTTCTGAATAGGGCAAGCCTACCGGTCCCAAGTACGCCATATGAGGTGCTATCGGGTTAAAAAAGGGTTCAAAGAGGGCGCTATAACAGCTCAAAATCGGCTTTTTTCACGTTCACCCCCAAAGAAAGGCCTATTTTAAAAAAGTTGAACGGGCTGCACCACTGACAGGGAGTACTTATGCCGAATATTCAAACAATTAGTCGTGACCTGTAGCGACAGTGTAAAGGAAGAGAATTTCTGGAGTACTGTAGTCGACTACCCACCTAATTATGCACTACTGAAATCTTGGCCGAATACCTTTTCCATACCGATCCAGCATAGCGGTCTCGCATACCGACCCCCCCCCCTTCATTGCTTTTGAGAAGCTTCACATTCCGCTACCTGCTCTGACTTCCTCACTTTCTTCGCCAACAATACTTTATTCTACACCAACACTTTCGTATTTTTGAAAGGGTGCCCCAAAATTATCGCGATATGTGCGTCTCCTCTGAAGTATTTAAGCGCATCGGGGTTTAAGGATGATCATTCATCAGCGTAGCTAGGTGACTAGAAGTATAATAAAGTATACGCCCGCGATAGCTGCAATCACAAGCCTCTCTCCATCGGAACGCTCGACGACCGCAGGCAGCTGCACCTCCGCCCAGTCTCTCCGATATACGTAGTGGTTCAAATCAGACAAATGAGAAGCTTACAACATTGATCGTTGGAGCGAATGCGTAAGGTGCCAGTGTTGTGTGTCGGAAGTACTGAATCTTGATAGTTCGCTTTTGACGTCGTTGCCGGTACAGAGCTTTCGGATCGTCAGCCATGAGGCGAATCGTGTTCTTCAATGCTTCATCTCTTTCCGATTTACTCATGGAGTCGAACTCATCGATGTCAAAGGGCAGACTGGCGGTTGTGGTATTCATAATACCTGAAAAAGATTGGAAAAAACTCAAATAGTTGGATGGTAGTTTGAGTTACGGACCCAGGTTTTGTTGGACAGGTTGGAAAAGCGGAAATTGCTTGAAAGTGAATCTCAGGGAACCTACCATTCTCTCCATACAATTGCATCAGTTGATCCTTTGTAAGATATGAGTACTGACGTCCTGCAAGATCACGTCGTTGGTCGGCTTTTAAGGTCCTCTCCAGTTCTATGAATGCCCTATCGATTGCATTCGTGATCGATACCAAATCTTTGTCCAATCCCACTCGCTGCATGTCTTCCATAAGATTGAGCGATTTTTCTACGATATCATTCACACCTGAATGAAGCTGTTTAGAATCAAAAAATGCTATCTGCTCAACACTGTTCTCACATGAATTATGTTCCTACATATCATAATAGAGTGATTTATTATGTTTTGACCGAGGATGCCTAGGACTTTCCCGGAGAAATACGCCTTGAAGGCACAGTTCACGATAATTTTGGGTAGTCCAGATTATGATGAAAAATGGACGACAAGATCGAAAATAGTACGATGAAGGTGGAGAAACTGCGTGAATCGGTGTTTCCAAACTGAAAAAAGGCTTCGGAAAACCGTTAAACAGGGGGCTGGCCGGGAATGATTTCAGAAAAATGAAGAAAAGTGGGGCGTTTGGACGACCTATACAATGTGTCTCACCGCGTACGTGTGGGTCCCGGTACGAATAACAGACTATGGTAAGCAGAAACTCATTGTGTATAAGCATAAGTAAACAAAAAACCCTAGTAACAGCAGAAGTAGCTCACCTTTTTCAGCCTCTAGGAGTAGGAAATTATCCCATTGACGACCATGCAGTCCACATGTGGACTGCAGTTGTATTTTTTGTTTTATTCATCTATATTTCCATTTTTTTACAATTTTTCTTTTCAAAACATTACATCAGGTCTGGATGAAACCACAAAAAGCGTGACCTTGGAAAATCTTCTAATCTTGCGATTGTAAAAGTGTTTTTTCGAAGGAGCACATTACCTTGGTGAGTTCTTCGTTCGTTGAACAACTTCAAAAAATGAGAATTTTTGAAAAGACGATCGTTATTAGCATTTTGTGTGTCATCGACCAAATGCAGAGCTCGTAAAAGTTGCCCCAAACCGGTTCTGGTAATGGTTAAAGTCATAATTGAATGACCACTAGACTGAGTGCCGGTTTTATAAAAAAGATCAATAATCACTCACTGTGGGCATTCTTTTCAAACCCATTCGAAGGAACATTCCGAAAACTTATAAATATCTCTTATAAACTTCACAAAAATGGTCATGCTGGCCCATGAGAGTGAACGAAAAGCGCGCCGGTCCCTCGCGGCGGTTTTCCCGCAAAACGCCATGGTCGTCAATGGGTTAAATGAAGGATCGCGGCTGCAAAAAGAATAGCAGAGGAAAAAAGAATGGGAGAAAAGCATTGCCTCATCACTCGGCGAAAGCTGTTTGTGTGTGGGTCCTAGAACGAAAATCTGCAATCTGTATTGTCTCGACACTCGTCTGACCGTCTGACATGACTTCGATCGAGAGGCGTGAAGGCCATTGACGTCCCCGCCCATTGAGTTATCGTGAACTGTGCCTTTAAATACCACCTAAACGTGGACATCAAGAGAAAGTAACCCCAACCCATTCTCAGAGTTCCGCCTTTGTCTGGGAGCTGAACCAGCGATTCAATGAAGAAAACGGGAGCCCGGTTCCATTATCATCTTCGTTCATTGCTTAGAAAGCGTTTTTGTGGCCATAAGAGCTGCTGAGCAGTAAATTAAAATAAGGAAAACCTTGGTTTACTCCTCCGACGGTTGCGATTGACAAGTCATCTACATAATTGGAGGCAGTTTAACATGCACGTACAACTAGGGCCAAATTTGGAAGATGGCATACTCTTCACTCTGACACTTCCAAGTTTTTTTTTTGGAAATATTTAAACTTCGCCTCGCAGCTGGTTACATACACCCAAATAGCTCAAATCTCTTGCCTACCAGCAACATCCATGATCAGCTCCAGAACAGCACCACGATCGTTTCCATCCAGACCAGACTTTTCGAGCACTTCTGGGATTGGCAGTACACTATTACCAGTGTCATCTTTGTAAAAAGGGAACAAATCTGGTGAGAGCAGTGATCTGAACACATAATCATTAAAGGAATTTATATTGGCATGCTCAATGTTGCGATTACTTGCAAAATCGGGGAACGTATGATTGAAAGAAATTGTCGAAAGAAATATATGAACATACTTTGGGGCGCTGTACTTGTTCGGCAGTAATGGCAGAATACGAGGCGACAGGAATTGCGGATTGACATCATTCGTATGCTTGGAGACAGTGTCCACTAGACCGTACACACTCTCGTCGACACTTCGCTCAGGCATCAAATCGCGAAACCTTCATGGAAAAGTGTTTAGGGAACAATATCAGCTCGAAATCCCAGTTCCCGAAGGTTCTGCGAAGGGGTTAGTAGGCCAGAATGATGTCCGAGTGCCATGAACAAAACCACGTCCAGAGCTGAAGATGTTCATAATAGAAACGCTGTGCCCTCTATCCTTTACACTACTGGAGGGATAAAAAGCAAGGAGCGTGGGAAGCAGGAGTATACGGTCTTGTCTGAGCCCTGAGTTTTGCCCATGACTTGTCAGCCTCGCGAGACTCTTTCTACGTCATTGAAGCTTTCAGAGAACTTTTCATGAGACTTTACCGATTTTCATCTCCTCTTTGTAACGACATCGGTAATAATGATTTAACCCATTGACGACCACTCCTTTCAAAAAAGTGCATGGCGTGTGGGACTGAGCGCGACTTTCGTGGGCTGTTGCTGTGGCCCGCCGGCGGGCCACGCGGTTCCAGGAGCAATTGAATTTTTTTTGCGAGTCCCCCGAGATAAAGTCCTATAAAAATGTCATGAACTCCTCCTCTTGCCTTGTAGCCAGTCCGCGCTGGCATTTACAGTGGGCCACCCTTTGTGCAGCAATGGCTCTCCTACCACCCAAGGCCTCCC